AAATATTGAGAAAAGTTGAATTGTTTGTTAGAGAAAAGTTGGTTTTAGTGATCTACGGGGAGAGTTAGATGATTTGCCTCTATCATGACACCTTAATTATTGTGAAATACAATTTAGGTGGTTTAACTTTTATTTTTCTACAATTTTCATAAGAGATATTTTCTTTGACTTATTATGTTTAGAAAAACAATACATATAAGACTTTCATGAATTACCATTAACAAGTTCTCTATGACTAAATCTAGTTTATATATTTGTAATAAGTGACTACCATTAATTATCAAATTTCTGTATAGGAATTTTAAGTGATTTATTGATATTAAATAAGAGAACACATTTTTGATCAGGATTAAATGTTTCAGATGAAAAAAAATTAGGTTCATTGTTGTAAAAATATATAAATTTATTTATGTAAAGCTTGATTATATTATTATTAGTCTCTTTCTTGATATACTAACAAATTAAAAATAAAAAATTTTAGATTAATATAATATTCTTGACAAAAAAATATAAAAAATAAAAAATGCTTACATTATGTATAAGATACTAGATATTACTAATAAATGAAAAAAGTTTGTATATCATGTAAAATTAAAAAAAAAAGATCAAAAATGCATAGCATATAAGATTTTAGATATGTGTTAACACAATGTAAGAAAAATTGTACAACACATAAAACCTCAGGTATGTATAAATTATATTTGATGTGTATAATATCAGGTATTATCAATGAACAAAAAAAATTAATGGTACAATAAAAAAAAAAAAAATTACACAGTGCAGTAAAAATTGTCATGCAAAAAAAAAAAATAAAATAAAATAAAAAATAAATGCACAATGCAAAAAAATTACCATACAAAAAAAGAAAAGACAATTTCACAGTGTATATAACCCTAGATATGCATAGATATTATTGTATCAAAAGAAAGGAATAATAAAAAAATGTTTGCAGGTGGTTGTTTTTAAAGAGGCTTTGCTTCAAAGTTATCAATGGCAGAAACTTGTTTCTCCTCAACACCTTATATCACCAACTCATTTCGTACTTCTTAACAATTTGCCTTGATGCCTCTTAACAGCACACTTCAAAAAAAAAAAAATTATTGAATAATCAAATAGCTGTTAAAGAGAAAGAGATAAGAGCTAACGCATTATGTGCAGATCGATATATATATTAAATATTAATCATGTGACACATGTCTGACCATCGATGTGCACCGTTGATTGATAGATCACGTGATTGCACACGGCTTTAAAGACGACCCTAGCGTCGCCCTCAAAAAATGGTAGCCGGACAGATCTGCCGGGTACATGTTATTATGTGATTCGGATTTGATTATGAACAATTCAATTACTAATCAGAAAATGTTCTTAGCGTATTTATGTATTGTTATCAAACAATAAATATGGTCGCTAAGTTTTTCATAAGAATTTTTTTATGAATAACATGAATCGCTTAAACTTTTATTGTTTATATGTTTTCTTTTGGTTATATTCGTAGACAAATTCAATTTTTTACAAGTATTTGTTTTTATTTCTATTTTTGACCAATAAGTTAATATTTCAAAAGATGTGCTTCATTTACTATAAAAAGCGTTTATGAGACTAATCCAATGATTCAAAGGTTATAATTTGTTCAAATTACCAAAAAATATTCAAGATGTTAAAAAATAAACTGTCATATTTATTTCATTATTACTATCATCCTAAAAATATTTGAACTTTAGATAATTTTTTTGCAAGATAAAATTTTATAATTGTCGTGCCAGTTTGTTCTTAACCATGATAATTTAATTTGGTTTCGCGTCTTGAATTTTTTTTACTTTGATTCCTTTTTCATTCCAATAATCTTCATTATTTGAATAGCATGACTTCCTGTGCAGGAGTTGGGTTGTTGATCTGACATAGAAAAGAACTTATCGTTATAAAAAAAAAATTTGTTGATTTAATGTGCTAATAATCAAAGAAAAGGAATTCAATATAAAGTAGTATAAAACTATAAACAAAATCTATTAAAATTTTAAGCAATAACAGCACAGCAGTAACAATGGTAGAAGAAAAAAATTTTTATTCGCTGTTGTATAATAATAATGAATTTTACAAGTACACAAAATTTTTTTGATTTGTAATCAAAATTGCCAATAATCAAATCCGAATCACATAATAACATGTACCCAGCAGATCTGTCTGGCTACCATTTTTGAGGGTAACACTAGGGTCGTTTGTACCCCAAACTAAGGTAAGTGTTAGGTTATAGTCATGTGACTGGTACGTGTCTGTAGAACCTCTGTAGCTCACCCACAAGATTTTTCTAACACATGATTCTAGCCAATTAGATTGAAGGATCAGGTGTAACATGAAAATCACATCTTTTTAAAAAATCGCCATTAACTCGAAATTTTATCTATGAAACTGCCTTCTGCATTCTAATAAAAAAATTCTTCATGAAAATTTAGTATAAGCTATGCCCTTCTTCATCTCTTATCCTAACCTTAAGATGATGTTTCTTACTTTAAAATCTTTTGCTTAATTTGATTGTTTTGATTTTATGTTACACCTGATTCTTCGATATAATTGGCTAAAAATCATATATCAGAAAAAATCTTGTGGTTGAGCTACTATTAATGTGCGGAAATTCTACAGACAGAGTTTAGGAACAGAATATGGTCATGTGACAAAATATGGTCACGTGATACGGAAATTCTATGGACAGAGTTTAGGGACAGAATATGGTCACGTGACAGAATATGGTCACATGATATATCAGATAGCTCAAATTATGTGATAAAACTTAATGGTAATTAGATTGTAGATCTTTTAGTAATCTAGCATTTTAGCATTAATTTTTTTGCTCAATAAACTTGCAAGATAAAAATAGTTACTTTATTCGATTAAACCAATGCTTGGGGCATATTATCAAATTTGTCTATCTATATGAAAATTAATTTATTGGAATTAATTTATTATTATTATTTTTTGATCTACTTCATTAGATGAACTACTTATTGTAAGAAAGTGATTAATACGATTTTGAATTAGTAGCTTCCATCTTATCGCGGTCAAGGTAGCAAACTGTGTCCATCGATTTACAATTAGTGGTACAGGGGCACCAGGCTTCAATGTAATAGCCACATAATGATTATTATTAACGAAAGCTATTGCAAGTGCTTTATTTCGATTTAATGGATGGTAATGTAGAAGAAAGGTAAGATTAATTTGTAGTGAAAAAAAGTACAGTGGCTTTTGGTAGGCATTTGCTATAACATCTCCCATCTGTGGCATTCTCATCCAATGTTTGAATATACAAGGGCCATTTGCCTAAGAGATCTCTTTTATAATTGTCTCATAATCATCATTGACTAGAAACAAGATACAATAGAATTGTTTTTTTTTAATTAATTCTTTTTGTAATTCCTTTCGAATCTCTGACCACTCATTTTTATCTCTTTGTAAACATATAGCTAGTGCTCTATACCTACAATTACCATCTCCATCCACATTAATTACCTTTTTTATGTGTTCATACATATAGGTAGGTATTTGGTCATGATATAAAAGCTGCTGCGATTTTGGTAAATCAGTTGTAAATTTTGATGTATTTTTCTCTTTTTTTTTAGCAGCCTTATCTTGTAGTTTGTTACGAAGAAGATCTTGTTTGGTGGAAACTGGTCATCTTATATTTTCAGTACGTACTGGTGCTTTTGGAATTACAATTTCTTCAGCAATAAGTGCTTCGATTTTATGTAACAATGAAGCTTTAGACCTACTATTATTTAAATTTGCATATTTTTCTTCAAGCATATACAAAGCCTTATTAAAAGCTGTATTAGTTGACAAAGATGAAGGTAATAAAGGTACAGAATCATGTTTTAGAAGCCAGCGGGGGTGGATAATTGAAAGTGGGATGGGCCCTGTTGATGGAATTATGTGACAACATGGTAGTTTGAAATTTAGTCTTAAGCTACAGTTGCAAATGCTATTAATTGTATTATCATAATTTTCTTGAGCCTCACATATTTCTTTTTTTATTCGATCAATTGCCCATCTAGAAATTTTTCCAACCAACTGTTCAAATTTTGTATTATTAAGTAAAACAGATCAGCTGAAATTATATTCAGACCTAAAGCTCCATTTTTTTGTAGTTGATGTTGATGAAAGGCATGATTAATATGTGAAAATACCTGATCTAGCCAGCTTGCTACCTCAATTGCTTTTTTTAAACTGCTATGGCTTCCTTCTGCTCATTGCGTGATTGGACTCCCATATGAGGATAATGTTTTGTATAAACATACATCCAATATTCTGAATCCTTTTTCCATTCCTCAAAGTAATTTTGAATATAATTAAAGTCTCTATTCTTCATCGCTGCTTGCTTTATCTTTTCAAATGCTTCTTCAACTATACTTATCTCCTCGGCATAAGCAACTTTTTGAATTGATAGCAATAATTTTTCATAATCATCATCAGAATCAAAAAACTTTTTGCATGCAGTACATAAGTTTTGGGCAAGCATGTGCCAGATACAGAGCATTTTTTTTGTATTTGGAAAAACTTTATTTGCTGCATTTCGAAGAGCTTGGGATTTATCTGAAACAAATACTTCCGGTAAACAAAAAAAAGCATCATAGACTGTTTCTTTTAATGTATTTAAAAACCATTCGTAGATATATTCCTTTTTGTTTTCTACCAAGCCATTGCGATTTGGTATGTATCAAGGGATTTTGCTTTGCCAATATTATTAACACCAACAGAATTTATTAAAGGGAGCTTGTACAAATTTGTTTTATAAGTTGCATCAACGATTAGCACCTTCGGACATATAGCAGCACAATGCGCAGCTTCAATATAGATAAAAAATAGATTTTTCATACAACCATCTTTTGATAATAGATGGCAAACTATGTACTGGCGTTCTTCTAACATCTGCAAAAGCCACATAGTTGTATCATTATTTGAGCCTTCATTCAGAGCATTTCTAATTCTATCACGTTCATTAACGATATCTTTCGTATACACAGTACTATGCTTCTATTGTACTGCATCAGCAACTGACTAAATTGGCGCTCCACTTTTGAGAATCATATGAACTAGCTCCTTTTGTTCTGTATTAAGTTGTTGATGTTGAGGGAGGCAGTGAACTTGTGACGAAAGGAGGAGTTTATGAGAATGCTGATCTTTATAAGATCGTACTATTCAAACACTAGCTTTCTCATCCAAAACAGCATACAAAGCAACAGGGCAGCCTTAATGCTTTGTAAATTTAATCTTTTTCCTGGTTTCTTCAGTAATATTATGATTATTTCTATACTCGCCCCCCATTGTACATTGTAAAATAATATAAGGAGCTTGGCCACCTTTTTCATCGCGTGATATTTTTGACAATAACATACTAAAAGCAAAACCTGCTGCTTTAGCACCTTGTTGAGCAGCTTCCTTGAAACTTTCTACTATTTGGAATTTGCTACCAATTTCTGGAACTTGTGGTTGTGATGGCAACATGATTATAGGTAGTTTATTTTATTTATTAATTTTTTTCTTCACTAAATTTAATCATTTTATTTGAATTAATTAAAATTTTAAGTACTTAGTATGATCAGTCTTGTTTTTCGACAAAATGTTTATTCCAAATGAAAATAATAAGTATTTTTAAAAAATGAGATTTGTCTTTATATACGATTACCACTAATTTATTAATACTGAATTTATTTTTAGTAAGAAATTATGACAGCGTGATTTTGAACAATATATTTTATTTTTTTTTATAATTAGCTTGGCTGTAAAGAAAAAACTGATAAGATGTTAATTAACTTTCCTTTACTGAATGTTAGAAACAGTATTTTCCTTTGCATCAATTCTTAAACACATGTGACAAATAGAATATAAGCTTTTCTTGAATAGTATTATTAAGATTTGCTACGTTTTGCAACTGCATTACGATTACTATACTATTTTTCTTTTTGGTTATATTCACCTTTCTACATGGGAAGCATTTATATGCAGGTTTCAGAATTATCAATTAATAATCTTTAGTTTTCGGCATTGATTATGATTCTTACAAATTTTTATTATGGGATGAAACAATTTTGATCATAATTTATTATAAGAAACAATTTAGACAATTTTAACATTGATCTAATCGTATTGAGAATTAGTACAATTATCGAGGTTCAAAGTAATAATTTAATTAATAATTGTATAATTTGGCTGCTGCAAAAAAAAAGCCTGTAATTTTTTTTAATGAACAATTGCAGGTTTTACCTTTACGGTGCTTATCTAACAGATTTTTATTAGCTTTACAGTATACCAATTTAACATTCCGATATAATTTCTTATATACTATAAATCTTGAATGTTTATTAAATAAATTATATATTTATGAGTGGTCAGAAGTATATAGTTTAGGGCATTTTATTATCAAAATAATTTTCTTGTAGTTGTGTCACATGATTTGAGCTATCCGGTATATCACGTGACCATATTCTGTCCCTAAACTCTGTCCGTAGAATTTCCGCGGAGGTGAGGCGCTATGTCACCCTCTCTTTTCGATCACGTGATATGCTATCACTTCGCAAATTATACCCAGTATCACGTTAACTATTGGAACTAAACTGTGCAACGTTACCCTCTCACCCGATTTACAATAGTAACATCATGCTGTTTTTCGGAATTGCTAATGGGTTTCGGAATATTTCGGAATCTATTAAAAGTTTCAGCTTGCATTACAGCATTATGGTGGCTTCTTAGCATTAAGATATATATAAAAATCATACGCATAATTCTATAATTTCATACGCATCATGCGCGCATTGCCCATCACTAGTTACGACACTTATGTGCGAGGTAGGATTACTATCCTATATTAAAACCAGTATTACCGTTATGAATATAAATCACCAACATCACGCCTCTGGCGAGTGCATTATGATATGATTTTATTGTTTAATTAAATCCTGTCGATTTACCCCGTAATATTCTATGTATTTTCTTTGCATTGTTGGCTCAGATCTTCACTGGCTCGTTCGACATTGACAAGGGTCAATATGATTTTGAAATTTGACACTGACAAGGTTTACCGATCCCATAGTACAAAAAAGAAGTGCATAATAAATTTCCATTTCTGGAATACCAACATGACACGTACCTGGCCATTTTTGATGCAATGCAACCATTGATTCTAATAATAACGATATAATAATCTATACATACTGTAACGGTATATATTAAATTTTTTTCTTATTTTTTTTTTTTTACATGTCATAATAGAAAGTAAAAGTTTACGAAAAAAGCGACTAGTATCGGAAGATATGAATAATCCGGGATAGAGTTGCTAGTGAAATTGGTGATATCTAAAATCTGATCGACTGTTATTTTATATTTCACCAGTTTCAGCACCATTCACTAAGAGTTTCACTAAGCAACCTATTACAGAGTCGGTTATTATCATGAATATGGAATTAGATGAAAACAAAAAAAGACTTTGAAGGCATGCAAATGCATGCCAAACCTCCATATATATTTATTTGTGACAGGTATGCAAGAAGAATTTTTAGGATATATTAACAACGCCAACAAATTGACAATTTAGGATATATTATTACCATTACCAATATGATTGTTAGTCATGTTGTAACAAAGAAGTATACTGAAAAGGTGTATATTATCAATTTTTTTTCTTATTTTTTTTACACGTCATAATAGGAAATAAAAAGTTTACGAAAAAAACGACTAGTATCGGGAGATATGAATAATTCAGGATAGAATTGCTAGTGAAACTCTGATCGACTGTTATATTATATTTCACCAGTTTCATCCCCATTCACCGAGAGTTCACCAGTTTCACCAACTCTAATCTAGAAAGAATATATAGAGTTGGTTATTGTTATGAATATGGAATTGGATGAAAACAAGAAAGACCTTGAAGGCATGCAAATGCAAGCCAAACCTCCATATCGATATATATTTATTTATGACAGGTATGCAAGAAGAATTTTTATGACATATCAATAACGTAAACAATTTGACAATTTAACAATTTATAATATACTATTACCAATATGATTAAATGTTGCGTATTGATAAATAGTTACAACGGATTTTTACTCGGCAAATTTTTTTTTTAATTTTTTACATCTAAAATGTCAACTAAACAGTCATCAGATGAAATTAACGAACTCACTAGCAGATTTGGCGAATTAAGTTTGGCAAAATGCCAAAAATCAGCAGAAAATGGAGAACCTAATGGAAAATTCATGCTTGGTTATTGCTATGAACATGGAATCGACGTTGAAAAAGATGAGCATAAGGCATTCAACTATTATCAAGAATCAGCAAATATGAATAATTCTTATGGAATGCTTCAAGTCGGTAATTGCTATCTTCAAGGGATTGGGGTTGAAAAAGATGAGCATAAGGCATTTACTTGGTATCAAAAATCTGCCGATAAGGAAAATGCTACTGGGATGTTTCAAGTCGGTAATTGTTATCATCAAGGGATTGGGGTTGAAATCAATCAGAATAAAGCATTTGAGTTTTACAAGAATTCAGCAAAGACGGGTAATTCGAAAGGATTCTCTAAACTTGTCATTTTGTCAGATAAAATGGGACGTGCAGACGGAATGGTTCAAGTTGGTATTTGTTATCATCAAGGAATTGGGATTGAAAAAAATGATCACCGAGCATTTATTTGGTATAAAAAATCGGCCGATATGAATGATCCAGAAGGAATATACAGACTCGGTTATTGTTATGAACATGGAATTGGTGTTGAAAAGAATGAAAACAACGCATTCGTTTATTATCAAAAATCCGCAGACCTTAATAATCCTAACGGAATATACCAAGTTGGTTATTGTTACTATTTAGGAATTGGGGTTGAAATCGATAAGGAGAGAGCATTTAAGCATTATTTGAAGTCAGCTGAGGTGGGTAATTCCATGGGGATCCGAAAAACTGCCATTTGTTACTATTACGGAATTGGTGTCAAAGATGATTATAATAAATATAAGGAATGGATTGAAAAGTATGCTAATTTTTAATATTTTAAAATTTGAGAATATTTTCACACAATTTAACAATTCAATTATATTTATCAGGGAGTAAGTATAAAAATCTATTACTTTACGTTAATTAAGTTTATAAATATTAATTGTTTGTGTTAATTTAGCCCGTAAGTATAAGAACATAAATGCTTATTTGCCATTACCTAATATTTCATTCGTATTAATCATTCATTCATATTAATTTAGTCAGTGAGTATAAAGAACATTTATTAATGAACGGAATTAAAAAAACAAGATCACAAATCAAAAATATAAATACTTATTACCATTACCTAATATTTCATTCGTATTAATCGTTCATTCATATTAATTTAGTTTGTGAGTATAAAGAACATTTATTAATGAATGGAATTTAAAACAGGAACACAAATCAAGAACATAAAGAATTATTTACCATTACTTAATATTTCATTCGTATTAATCATTCATATTAATTTAGTGGGTGAGTATAAAGAACATTTATTAATGAATGGAATTAAAAACAAGATCACAAATCAAGAACATAAATACTTACTTTTACTTAATATTTCATTCGTATTAATCATACATGCATTCATATTAATTTAGCATGTAAGTATAAAGAAGATTTATTAATGATTGGAATTAAAAACAAGATCACATTATCTAATATTATTCGTATTAATCATTCATTCACATTAATTCAGCACGTGAGTATAAAGAACATTTATTAACAAATGGAATTAAAAACAAGAACACGAATCAAGAACATAAATACTTACCGTATAGTCCCGAAATTAAGCACCTCCCGAAAATAAGCACCCCTGGCTCGCACTATGTACAATTTGGCCTGCATTATAACAAGTTTGGTCTGCACTGCATGCAAAAAAGGGGTTCTTAATTTCTGAACTATACGGTATTACTATTATCTAATATTTCATTCGTATTAATTATTCATTTTTTTCAATTAATTTAGCACGTAGGTATAAAGAACATTTATTAGAACAAGATCACAAATCAAGAACATAAATACTTATTTACCATTATATAATATTTCATTCGTATTAATCATTTATTCATCATTTATATTAATTTAGTCGGTGAGTATAAAGAAGATTTATTAATGGATGGAATTAAAAGAACACAAATACTTATTTACCATTATTTAATATTTAATTCGTATTGATCATTCATTCATCATTCATATTAATTTTAGTCAGTAAGTATAAAGAACATTTATTAATGGATGGAATTAAAAAAAAGAACACGAATCAAAAACCTAAATATTTATTTACTATTACCTACTATTTCATTCGTATTATTCATATTAATTTAGTCGGTAAATATAAAGCACATTTACTAATGAATGAATTAAAAACAAGAACATAAATCAAGAACATAAATACTTATTTGCCTTTGCCTAATATTTCATTCGTATTGATTATTCATATTAATTTAGTTGGTAAGTACAAAAAACATTTA